GAGAGAGAGAGAGAAATATAGAGAAATAGTTCCGCTCCAGGGGAGACTGGGAAATACAGTTCCTGGCTGGACAGTCAGGCCCAGGTAAACTCTGTCTCTACAGATTGCAGTTCACAGCAGCCTTGCTGCCCTCTCAGGCCTCACTCAGCACTCCTCACTAAGTTCCCTTTCCACCCTGCTTCCTTCCACACCTCAGGCTCCTGGGGGAACTGCCCAGAGGTTTTTCACTAATGATGTGAAAAGATAACATTAGCAGGTGTGGCAGATGCTGTGAGTTCCCTGTCCAGGCCCTTAGCCCTCCAGGACTCTCTCCAAATCAGGATTGGAACCACTCATCCGGTTGTTTTGTTGTTGTTGTTGTTGTTGTTTGTTCTGTTGTTTGTTCTATCTCTCTCTGTGTCTGTGTGTGTGTCTGTGTCTGTGTGTGTGTCTGTGTGTGTGTCTGTGTCTGTATGTGTGTCTGTCTGTCTGTCTGTGTCTGTGTGTATCTCTGTGTGTCTGTCTGTATGTATGTGTCTGTGTCTGGGTGTGTCTGTCTCTGTGTGTCTGTGTGTTGATTACTGGAGCCTGTTGTGCCCAAGAGGCCCCTGGACCAGAGCCTGACCTCCCGTTCAGTTCCGTCCCTCTCCACTACGCTTGCGCTGCCGCCCTGGTGCAGACACTGTGCTGGACAAGGAGGGAGAGCCCGAGCTCCCTTCGGCTCGCTCTTCGCCCCAGTTCCTCGTTTGGTTCTCACAGAAGCCTTTGAGGCTGTTGGCTCTCTTCTCATTTCACAGATGTGGAAACTGAGTCTTAGAAAGTGTAGGCACCTTGCCAGATCCCGGGCTTTGCTCAACAGGGATGGGGGTCCAATACTTGCTTGTTTGGCTCCAGGGGCGCCGCTCTCTTAGGAAGCAGGAAGTACTGGGTGGCTAAGGAAATATCTAACAATGCCCACTGGCTGCAGTAAGGAAACCACACAGAAGGCATCCCACTGCCTCCCTGCTGGCGGGAATCATGAACACTGTCCTAAGTGGTCCGTCCCTCCATCATCCTGGGACGACTGGTGTATGGTTGTCAACAGAGGGGAAACTACAATTCTGTGTTTTCAGCCATCGTTACTTTGAATCTTTTTACAGCAGGACAAGTATTTCAGCTGGGTACTTCCCAGTGTTTCTAACATCATGGGTGGGATGCAGGGAATATGGAAGCATTTTATGACACATTAGAGAAACCCTAGAGTTTTCAAAGTCTGTAAAGGACTCTCCCAGTCACATTTTCTTTGTAGTACACATAAAAAGAAACAAAACACAAAGCAGCATTTCAAAAGTCAGTAAATACTTAATTAGGATAAAACGTCCAAGTAATAGCTTTTCAGAGTTTTTATGAGGAATCAGCTTTCTTCCCCAAATATGTTTTCTTTATTAGATTTTATGCTTGAGATGGCTCCCAAATCCTTGGGTATGTTTTTCTAATTATCCTTTTTCGGGTTCCTGGTCACAAGAACTGCGCATGTAGAGCCTGCAAATGGCAGCGACATTCGTCATGTCCCACCATCGTCAGGAATGGCTTTCTTGTTCTTAACAGAATTACGGTCCTGAGCGCCCTTGCCTGGTGCAAGTGTCCTCTGAGGCTCTGTCTCGTCCTTCATGGACAACATGCAATGCTCTATTGCTTGAAATAATACAAAAGGCATCAGAATACAACAGCACTTCAGCTCATTGTCTTCAAGTCATGATGAAATTTCCTTCATACCCAGACACAGCTCTCTGTAGTTGTGACATTTTTCCTGTAGGTTTCAGATAATTCCAGCTGACTCATAAACATTTGAAATTTCTTCCTTATAAAAGCATCTTTTTCATTGAATCTGTAACTGTTGCTAACACACATTAACGTTGTGGAGTGGTTCCCAAGCTATCTCTGGACCCAATGGTTGGCTGAATGGCACAGAGTTCAGAACAGTTGTGATACCTATGGTTACAGTTACAGAGAATGGATACAGATTAAAGTCAGAAAAGGAGAAAGGCCTGGAGAAGTCCAGGGAAACCAGACTCATGTTTCCATGTCCTCCAATGGATTCAATGGATTCCCCCAACAGGGACATGAAAACGTGGACAAATTGTTGCAAACCAGAGGAGCGCCCCTAACCTCAGTGTCAGGGTGTTTAAACACGGGTTGTTACATCGGAACTCAGGACCTGCACGGATCACTCAGTCCCCATCCCAGCACCACCCTCAGAGGTCAGTGACACCGTGCTGTCCAATGCCTCAGGCACAAGAAAGATCTTCCACCCTCAGAAGAGCCCACAGGTGCTGGGGTTGTGTTCCAGAAACCGGTCAAAGGCTAGTTTACCTGGAAGAGGCAAAGACCCATGGCCCCCAAGTTCACCTTCACTAAGCAGCACATCTGCTCATACAGTTCTTGGAGTTTTTGATGGGGGGGGTTCAAAAATGTCCTAAGTCGGATGTTGAGGCTTCAAAGAACTGTGGAGTGATGCCTAGTTTTCAACTTTCATCTCATTTTTTAAAGCTAACAAATAGGTGACAAAACTGTTCTTTGGACAGTCAACCCGTTTCGGGATGAAACAGTGGAGGATGTCCCTGTTCTGACTCTTCACTCCGCTGGTGACAGGGCGGTGAGGCTCCGGCTTTGTTTAGTCTTGAGTCTTTGTAACTTGACAATATTTCGACAAAGTATTACAACGTATTCAAAAGGCAGACGGGCATATTATTACAGACTACTAAAACACAACAAAAGAGATGTCTGCAATTAATTAAAGTCTATGGCATTTCTTAAACAACAACAACAAAAATAATCTGAAAGGTTAAACCCAGTATTGGCAATATCTCTGAGAGCTGAGCTTTTTGATGCTGTCATTATTTTCTAGCCCTGGCTGGCCTGGAACTTTCTGTGTGAGTCACCACATCTGTCTTGAAACATTTTACATTAACTTACAAACTGTTGCAGGAGACAGCTGACAACCTGGACTGTCTTCTGTGTGACAAAAGTATAACATTGTGACATGATCATGACGAAGGCTTCCCAGCAGCAGGTTTTGAGTAAAACCCGAGATGCTGAAATAATTATTACTGGACTCAGGAAGTTTCTAGAAGGAGCTATCCCATAGTACTTAAATATATTCTCAGCTGTGGTAAATCCCCAGTAGTTGACAACCCAGTGTGCCTTTGGCTCATTCATGGCCCACTCAGTGGAAAGCTGTGTCCTAATTAATGGAAACAGGGATTCCAGAACAAAGCATGCACTGTAGTCAAATAACTGAAGACTTGGTGCTAAGTTAAACTGCAGGTTCAATTCTGCAGAAACACCCGCAGACGTTAAGAGGCCAATGCCTGTTAATTCTTTTTTTTTTTTTTTTAACCGCCACATAACAATGGGCAGAGCCCAGAAACACACAGTTTTCATAAACAGATATCCAGCAAGCATTCAGATATTCAAGGCGTCAGGGGTAGAGATGAACACATGTAATCCTGGCACTCTGAAGGTTGAAGCAGGGGAGTCCTGGGTTTGCTGAAGGCAGCCTGGACTGCATACTGAATTCAAATTTAGCAAGATGCTATCTTTGTTTGCTTGTTTGTTTGTGTATTTGTTTGTTTTAGAACAAGGTCTCACTGTGTAGCCTGGGCTGTCCTAGAACTCACTTTGTAGACCAGGCTGGCCTTGAGCTCATAGAGGCCCCGCCTGCCTCTGACTCTCAAGTGCCGGGATTAAGGGCGTGTACCACCACACCCGGCACCACAAAAATGCTGTCTTGAATTAATGAATGAATAAAATTCAGTGGGAAGCTGGGAAAGTAGTTCAGTTGGTAGAGTGAATGCCCAACAGGCACCCCCAAACCCAAAGCTCTGGATTTGACCCCTGACAAAACAAACAAACAAACAAACAAACAAACTAGGTGTAGTGATGCATACTTCCCAGTACTGGAAAGGTAGAGACAGGAAGAACAGAAGTTCAAGGTTGTCCTTGGCACTACACAATGAGTGCGAGGTCAGTCTGATCTACGTAAAACCCTATCACAACAAATAAATAATAAATAAATAAATAAATAAATAAATAAATAAATAAATAAATATTCAGTCAGGCAGTGGTGCCGCACGTCTTTAATCTCAGTTTGTGGGAGGGAGAGGTAGGCGGATCTCTGTGAGTTCAAGGCCATCCTGGTCTACAGAGTGAGTTCCAGGATAGGCTCCAAAAGCTATACAGAGAATCCCTGTCTCAACCCACCCCCACCCTCCAAATACTCCGTGGCATTCATAACTAAACGATTGCACAAAAAAAAAGCAAGATAGACCCTGTCCCACAGACAATTGGCAAACTTGGGGAAGATTTATAACATCCAGTGGCTCAGATATGAGCAGGTCCTCATTTCAGGTAGGAAGCTTGTGGACAGACAGACGTTTTGGCGGGAGTATGCCCCAAAGCCAATAACTTCATCAAATAGGAATTTATTACTTTTCCACAAAAGAAGTCTGAAGCAGGCATCCCAGACTGGTACTCCGGCCCCTTCCATCTCCCTGCTTTGCCAGGCCTAGCCCAACGCTCCTATTTTCACATTCACTTTCCCGTGGCCTCCTGGGTGCAAGATGGCTGCATTACCTCCAGCCCCAGGTTCATATTCCAGCTAAGAAAAGAACGGCGAGGAGGAAGATGCCAGAGTGAAGCTCTCTCAGGAGCCTCCAGCAGATATTCCCTTACAAGCCTGCAGCTCAGCCCCATGCCTCTCAGAGAAAAGTCAGACCTTGGCCCCAGAGCTGCCTCCGAGACCTCTGACTTCTCCTCCCGCGGTGAGTCTGCCTTTGATCCTTCTTCACCTCATTGACTAGAGCGGATACATTAACCAGGGGCCTCCACTCCTCTTTCCCCCTTCCGTGTGTGTCCCAGCTTCCTGGGCCTGGTATGCCCATGCCCAGTGTTCACCCGTCTTGTTAGCTGCAGCCCTGGAGCCCACTCTGTCCACACACACTCCAAGAGGCTGGGATGGCCCCACACCAGGGGCAGATGGAGAGGAATTAGCGAGTCTCCTAACCCTGCCTAGGGGTGGGACAAACCCTTCCTGGAACTCAAATCCCTAAGCTGCCCTGCGGGGTCAGCCTGAGACACACCCTCAGCAGGATTGTGTCTTCAGCCACACTACAGTGCTAGCCTGCCCCAAAGGCAAGCTATGGTCCTTAAAGGAGCACTCACTTTAGATTCCTCACAAAGAATCCTCACTTCCGCACTCGCCTCTCCATTTCCTGGTCCACTGGCCTCCCTGCTGCTGTTCTTTGAATGGTGAAGCTTGCGGAGTCTCTGCAACGGCTTTCCCAGACGATATGTGTGTCCAATCTTTGCTCAAGTCTTTACTCAGATAGCACTTCCCCGGTGAGGATTTCCTTAACAACCCTGCCTGGGATAGACTTCTCCACTGGTCTCTATTCCTTGGAGTCTCTGTTAGGCCCTGGCAGGTGACAGTGGATTTCTGCTTTGAAAGAGGGCCAAGACAGAGAGCAAGAGGTTTTGGTTTGTGTTTTGCAGAGGATAAATAGCCTTTTTAGATTCTGTAAACCACATATATAGAGAGACACACAAGTTGATTCAGGACCTCCAAAAATCTCACTGCCTCAGGGAGGACTCAGACTCTTCGAGTGGGTACTTTTTGTGCCCCTGAGGTGGCAAACAGGAGTGTCCCCAGCCAGGACAGAGCTAGAGTGACATTGACAGATGCCCTTTTGTCTGAATCAATGGAAAGCCACAGGTAGGGCTTAACCCGAGGGAGTGTGGCCAGGGCTGGGTAATGACGTAGGTGAGGTCAAGAGGGGGAAACCAGCCAGGCGGTGGTGGCGCACGCCTTTAATCCCACACTCTCAAGGCAGAGAGGCAGGTGGATCTCTATGAGTTCAAGGCCAGCCTGTTCTACAGAGTAAGTTCAAGGACAGCCAAGAGTATACAGAGAAACGTTGTATCGAGAAACTAAAAGGAAAAAAATTGGGGGAGGGGGTGTTGGACCAGAGGCTGGGAGGTCAACTAGGGGCTCCCTTACCAACCCTGACTCACCTACCTTATTAGTGCCAAGTGCTGAGCTGAGCTCTGGACACCAGAGGGCGCTATAGCCTAGGACACGGCACCTCCCCGGCACTCTCAGACCCCCCCTGCTTCCAGTCTGGTCACAACTGCCAGACACCTTTAGGGCTTGTTTATTACACCTCCCAGGGACCCTGGACAAACCCAGCAGCTTCCTGGGCTCTCTCAGCTCTAAAAGAAAACCAAGCGTCCTGTTGGGGACTCTGTGGGCCAGGAGAGGGAAAGGTGATCCAACCGGAACTCAGCACACGGCCCTTGGGCAATCTTTGTACAGATTCGCATCGGCTCAGCTGAGTTTCCTTTTCTATGTATTACATAGAAAACCTTTGAGACAGGGAGATCTTGGGGCTGGGTGGGTGGGTGCAGTGGGAAACAGGAAACTGATACCCGGGTCTAAGCCAGTGGTTTTCAAAGTGTCTTTCTGGAGCCAGCAGTGTCAGGGCTTCTCATGAGCACGTGAGAAATACAGACCTAGTGTCGGAGGCTCAGTGTGATACACATGCGTGCGGGAGCGATCATGAGTCAGATTCCAAAAAATCACAGCACCATGTGGCAGGACCCTGCCACAGGGTCCTGCAAGGCCCATGGAGCCTTGGAAAGCTCCCTGTGCCTGGGAGCCAACAGAAAGGCAAGAGGCGATGGGTCTTCCAAGCATAGAAGACATTGTTCCAAGATGGAGAGAGATTAGATCCTGACAAACAGCAGCTCCATGGGGCCTAACAGGAGGCTTAGCTTTTCTCCTGCCAGCGCTGGACTCTTCTCCAGGCAGCTCTCTGGCTTCGAAAGCTGTCCTCCAAACAAGCTCTCCATAGTTAATAATTCATTCATTTCCACCGCTTATTAATCAATACCTATGGAGCTCCAATCAGAGTTTTTTATTAGCACGGGATGTCCAGACTTCCTATTCTGAATTAATAATGATAGTAACTGCCAGCTGCTTCGGCCTGCCAGGCTCACCGCCAAGCACTCCGTGTGGCCAAGCTGCTCCAGTGACCACCATAAATGGGGTGCACTTATGGCCCTCATTTTACCAAAGAAGAAACCTTTACCAAAAGAGGCTAAGTTCATTTGCCAAAAGCACATCTCTAGATGTTGTCTACCCCAAGCCAGCCCTTCCTGCCAGCAAACGTGAGCCACATGCTTCCCTGTGTCCTGGGAGTGATAGAATCCTGGCCCCAAAGAAGGACACCCAACTATCTTCCCCTGTACAAATGCTTGGTTCATTCCATGCATGTAGAAATACGGAAATAGCTCCTGGGACACATTTCTATCTTGGGAGTTCCCTAGGGTTCTGGGATTCCAGGTCAGAACTGCTGAACTGGTACAATCCTCTCTCTCTCTCTCTCTCTCTCTCTCTCTCTCTCTCTC